AGATAGATAGATAGATAGATAGATAGATAGATAGATAGATAGATAGACAGGATCTCGTACCGCCAGCAGGAGTCGGTCCCTCTCCATCAGGTCGGCCAGTCTGTGCAGCAGCTTTCCGCGGCTGGACGCGTCCATCCTGCGCCACGGCGCGCCCTTCTGATTGGCTGCTTTGGCCGACGCAACGGCCTTATCAACGTCCTCCTGCAAAAAAAAAAAAAGTGTCAATCGCAACTCATAGATATACTTTTTCATAGTTCAGTGTCGGCGTCTTTCTGTCTCATCCACGCAGGCGTCTTACTTTGTCCGCTTCTTCCACGTCACAGATTTTGGCACCTGTGGCCGGGTTGAAGGTTGAGAACGTCCTCCCTCTGCTGGATGCGTGCCAGTCGTTATTGATGAAGATCTCAAAAGAGAAACTTTCTTAAGTTTGTGGTCAAGCTTTTTTTTTTAGGAGACGACTCTGTCTCAGGGGCTTTTAACCCTTTAAAGCCTGATCCAAGAATAAAACAGAACAGAAAATGACTTTTTTTTTGTTTGAATTCCTTATTTGGCCTTTTAACAAAATATGTAAAAAGAAAAAACAGAAATACATTTTTGATATTAATAATTTATTACTATGCGATAAGTCAAGATTATTTTTTTGAAGTCTTCTGCCCCCTGTTATCAGGTATATCTGATTGTGTACAATAGGATTTTGAGCAAAGTTTTTACCATTAAATTATAAAAAAAGTGTCAGACGCAAAACATTTCAGAAACCGTATGTATCAAATATTATACATATGGCATTACAGGGTTAAACCGGGTCACCTGTCCAGATGTTGGCTTTAATTCGGCGTCATTACCTTGGTGTGTTGGATCCGCCGGACTTTAACAGGCTGTGGGAAGGTCAAAACCGAGGTTTCCTCCGCAGCTTTCACTTCAGCCTTCTGTGCCATTTCTGCAACAGTCTAATGTGCTCCCGCTCCTCTGCGCTGAAGGGCTTTTAAACGGAATGGATTGCGCCCCTGCTCCGCCCATCGCGGAGTCTGAGGGGAGCCTGTGAACCCAAACTCCACTTTAGTCCACTTGACTTGCAGACTGCACGGTGAGGAGCTCCATCAGATACACCAGAACTGCTGGTCTCATCCCGCCAAGCATCTCTCTTTTCATTCTAACCTGTGGTGTGTGTGTGTATTTGTGTTTGTGTCCTGTCTCCCTGTCTGTCCATCCAGAGCCAGTTGTTGCTGTGTTAGTGTTTCCTCACAGCTACAGTGGGGGAAATAAGTATTTGACCCCTTGCTGATTTTGCAGGTTTGCCCACTTACAAAGAATGCTTATTTTTCCTCATCAGATGGTTATCAATTTTTATAAATTCATATGATGTGATTTTCTGGAATATTCTTTGGGATTCTGTCTCTCTCTGTTAGAATGTACATATGATTAAAATGATAGATCGTTGCATTCTTTGTAAGTGGGCAAACCTGCAAAATCAGCAAGGGGTCAAATACTTATTTCCCCCACTGTATACATGCATACACAGCCTCCATGAACACACACTTGCTTAACCTGAGAGTCACCGCCGTCTTCCAGACACCAGAAATTCAATCAATCACAGCAATCGTCCCCCAAAATTCTCCGGTCGGGGGAAAAGAGAGGCTAAGATTGAGAGAAAACAAAAGAATAAGAAAGAGGGATAAAAGGAGCAGCGAGAGAAGGAGAGTCTGGAACTTGCGAAGATGTGTCCGTCCAGGTGTTCAGAGGCATAACAAAGGCTCTTTTGACCACTACTGGCTCCACTTGTTACAGAATGTAGCCTCTCAGTCAAGGCTTACTTATTCACTGGTAGCCTAGATACTCTTCCGCCCGGCCAGTTGTTTTTTTCCTGCACGGTGGACTTACGGTGAAGTGGCTCTGTCTGTTCCACTCCACACACCACAGAGAATGGTGCAGGTTATCGTACACCTATTAACAGAGTAGTACAGTATGTGGTATGTGCCCACTGACTGGTTTGGGATACTAGAACCACACATCTTTATTTGACTTTTTGTTCACACTGATGCAGGACATGCCCTAATCCATCTTAAAGCATCAAAACATAATGCAACAAGTTGCTCAAACCCCCGTGTAACACAGGGCAGAAGGCTATGCCAGTAAATGAAATAACTGGCCAGTACTTTCTAGTGAACTGGTCATGCCTGCACTTCCACATTCAGCATGCCAATCCAACTGCCATTCCCAGAATGCCCCATTCACGTCTACATTGTCTAAGCCTGTATCTCACCATTGCTTCAGCCTGACAGGAATACCTTTTTGTGTATTTAGGTAAGTTCCTTTTCTGATAATTGTTGTTCACATTTCATTATTTTTTTGTATTCTGAGTACTTGCATAGGGTTATTCAGAAGGTTCTAAAGTGATTTTACAAGCAAAAGCTGAGAATGAATCCAGATATCGGGGGGGAATTTTTATCAAGCCAGTTAAACAGGGCTCCATTTTCCTTCAAAGTTCACGTCTTGGTTCCTTGGGCGTGTAATAGTAGGAACTATAGGGTTTTACTTTTAACAAAGCTGTCCGCTTAAGACAAACCAGCGGTTTAATTTCATGTAATTTTTCTGGGAGAATGCATAAAAAGTGAAAACAAACACACCAAGCACATACTGGCAAAGAGCTTTAGCTGTATTTCAACAGCCATTGAAAAATTATTTTGAACTTGTTTTAACAATACTATCTTCTTGGATGCCACCCAGGGAATATTTGAATATTACCTTACCTGCTTATGAATTCATTGGATCCACCTCAACTTTCCACTAATATTTACTCATCCATGTGTCACTAATCGCTTAGCTTTTCTCCCCCATGCTTTTTGTTGGTTCAGCCGGACATTTATTATATTTATTCAAGAAATTTCTGAATGAAAATGTGTTGTAACCCTGTTTTGGTATGAGGTAACCTGCTATAAAGCAATTCTGGCCGCGAATCCTTCTGAGAATTCAGAGTGCTTTCATACTAACGACAGACTTGTAAACATGAAGAATGCCAAGGCTAATCACAGTTCCAATGGAAGTAATTTTGAGTTAAGCAAAAGAGAAGAGGGCATGAAGAGCTCTCAGAATGAACAAAGATGAGAACGGAAAAGGGCGGAAGAGTGTCTGCCGCTCAACTCGGCTCACATGTGAGGCATTGGTGAATCAAGTGATCTTTAAATAGCTGCCACCAAAGCCTATGTGGATCTGGAGCCCCAGTCGTTTAGTTTCCTTTCCTTTCAGACACATACTGTCTGCTGTTTTTACAGTATGTGGGTAAGTGAATGCAGTTTAAAATAGCTCTAAAGTGCTTAATGAGCTCTAAAACATTGTCCTTTTACATGCAAATGAGCCATTCAATCTGCACTGTGCTCTTCTTATGTTCGTTCATATTTTAATTGAATTTCTATTTTCTTATCAACATTCATCAATGAAGGAAATGCTGCAGCTTCTCAAGTGAGAAATCACTATTCCCTAGCACAACGGTTACCTTCATACATGGACCATTTGTAGTAACCAACATCAAGTTTGTCATAGGTTGTTTTCTTTTTAGAGTTTTGGATTTTGGTTTTGTTTCTTGTTTCTATTTTCTCATTTTTGATTTCCCTTTGTTTTCTTTTAGCAGCTTTTACTGTAATGCTCTTGGTTTTTTACATTTTTTAAAATAAGTTGTGGTGTTTCTTGTTGTTTGCCTTCCTGCTTTATTCTGGTATCTTCCCTGGTTTACTCTGTTTTCCCCTTCTATATTTGTTTACTTCATGAAACCTCACCTGTGTTCCCTGTCAGCTGCTTTCACCCCACTAATCCCACTCCCCTCCATAAAAGTGTCTCAATCATTTAATCCTTTGCCAGATCTTCCTCGTAAATTAATCAACGTCGTGCCCACTGTGAGTCTTCCTTCCAGTGTGTTCCTCGGTCTTGTTTGTTCCAGGTTTTTTAGGTTTTTGTTCCTGGTGCTCCCCTTATGTTCCTTCCCAGGCTCCTGCATTTTCGGCCCATCCCTAGCTTTTCCCCTCACCTCGTTTGGGAGCGTGTTTGGGACAATTTCCAATTGAGGCACTTGCTATCCTGACATCTCTCTCCACCAACAACCCCCTTAGAAGCTCTGATCATTAATGATCACCATTGTAAATGCTGAAGGAGAAATCACACTCTCTGCCATAATTTTTATTTCTACTTCAGCCTACCAGGTATTCTGGTGTTTCTGCCTTCTGTACAGTGGTATCTACTGTATTAAGCCATTCATTTCTAAATAACTAGTTCATCTCTGTGCAAATACACCAAAGAGCATCTTCCACTACATTTCAGAGGGATCATTTGGAACTGACTCAAGTCGGAGGTCTCTTTCTCCTCCACTACTTAAGTCTTCTTTTATTAACAAGTTCCTCCATCTGTCTTTGCCATTGAGACTTAACTAAATGTACACTTACAACCCTCTTTCTATCTTGTAGCCCGAGTGTTTCTACACCATAGGAGTAATTTTATATCTCCCATCTTTTTCTACTCTATTACTTCCATCTCCTCCTAACCTACCTGATATTTTCAACAAATCTTCATTGACTGCCTCCTCAGGTCTCTGCTCTGGCTTCCTGTTACTCAGAGAACAGACTTTAAAACAGCTCTGCTTGTGTTCAAATCTCTTCATGGTATAAAGTCCATCCCTGACATGTTAGAGCCGTTTGAACCTCCTGGACTCTGAGAAAACTTCAGGTTCTGGTCTCCAGCTGGTGCCCAGAGTCTGAACCAAACAAGGAGAGGCTTCATTATAGTTTCATGATCCTAAAAATCTGGACCACTCTTTCTGAAGAGGTGAGACAGGCCACCAACTCTGACTGTTTAAATCCAGGCTGAAAACGGTTTCTGTTTAACTGTGCATATGGAAACTGACTGCATTTTATCTGCACCCTTCACTTTTTATCTATTTAATTTATTTTTTTGATTAATTTTCTTTCTTTCTTTTCGGATTTTGAATTCTTCGCAAAGCTCTTTGCATTGTCTTGTACACAAAATGTGCTTTAAAATAAACTTGCTGCTATTTGCCCGAGGCCACCGAACTCCTGTTCCATATTTCTCTCTGTGACTGGACTAACTGATATTACCTTCTGCCAGCCACAAGAACAAACCTGGAGCCTTTTTTCCCCTTCAACCCACCACTTCTATCCTCTCCAGCTACACTCACCTTTCACTGAGAACCATTCTGTCCAGCTCCTGTCCTGGACAATAAGTCCATGGCCCTATTCTGTACTGAGTCGCATCTCCAACTCATAGTCATATTTGTTCCAGGGTCAGTTACCATGTAGTCTGCCTGTAAGTCATCTTTCACCCCTGCTTCCAACAACCCTAGGGGTCCTCTCTTTAGGTTAGGTGTGACTGATACTGGCCTCAGGAAGTTTTTCCTTGCCT